GAATTGAATTCCTGACACCAAAGAATTTCATTTAATGTAGAAGACTGTACTAAACTAATGGCCTTGGATGGCTTTAGTCAATTTTTGGTTTAGAGCCTCAAATGGCCTTCGGAAGCCTTTTCGATTTTATTCATCGCAACACAAGAATAAATAAATATGGCTCGAAAAATATCCTGAACCTGCTTTTTTTTTTTTTTTTTTTTTTTTTTTTCAGAGTAGGAGGACCTATCTGTACAATATGTGTAATCAATCATCTTCCTGATATTCAAGCCCAGCATTCCCCCAAGTACATCTTAAAACATGTAAAGCTGTTTCTTTCTTGAGTACGTAATTCACAATATCCAGATATACCTCAGTTTGAAATTTATGAGGTTTTTGGATTCTATCTGGTAATTCATGATTTGATGTTACACTTTGGACCACCTGATAAAAATCATATTAAATAGTATTTAAATTTCTTCTTCTAATTTAGGATAATAAATCTAAAAGGCTCACTACTCAAAATCAATTATGTGATTTATTCTTTTCAATCTCAGTATACGTTTATTCTTCTACGATTTATTCTTTGCAATTAGTAACATAATACAGATTTTATGTTAATTTACCAGCTTCTCTCCTATCTGGTCGTTCCTTCTAAGTAATGTAACACTACTCAGATGAAGGCTTAAAACGAACATTTTTATTGATGCTTCAGCCTAATGATTACACAAAATTGATTGTAATGACTGGAAATCACATCTCCAATACTTGAAATTTAGGAAAAAAATTCTGTTCAAAATAAAAGATTAAGTAATACTTGCCCACGTAATTTTTGGCTCGGCTCTTAAGATTTTCCACTTAAAGAACTCCGCGAAGGCATACCTTCCCTTAGATAGATAGCTCTCTATACCCAAACGTTTGCTTTGCTTTACCCAAATAATCTAACCTAACGTAACCCAAATGCCTATTGGTCTCTACAGCAGTATCTAAATTAAAATTGTGCTGGTCACAATTTTTCATCACATTAATTTGGTCGACTGAGTCTTGTGCCTCTCCTTAATCGCCCTATAAGTACGGAAGGTTATGAGGATTTGAAATTCTCCCGTGAGTGCTTTAATGATGTAAGTGATTAGCAGATACGATTAACAGGGGAAAATCCTTTGCTCGAAATAAAGCCGAGGGTAACCTAATAGATTTTACAGACTTGGAGATCCCGCCAGCGAACTAGCGGTTTAAAACTACTGAATACTAGTAGTTCGTCCTGGGTTCAAACCCAGATGAACAGGTTGATTATAGGGTTGGTTTTTGTGATTTTCCCCATGTGTAACCTGAGCACGAGCCAAATGCAGTTAGAAAGACATTTCTCCTCTTAGGCCCATATCCTTCGTGTGCGTTGCCATATTTAAACATATTTATTTGAATAATGGGGCAAACAAAACATCTACAAACACATATACAAGCGTTTACAGGCAAACAAGACATCTACAGAATTGGTTACTAACCTTTATAAACGATTCTATTAATATTTAATTTGTGGTAATCTCAAAAAGTAATATTTAAAGCTAAATTGCCACTTTTTTATAAAGAGCCCATCAAACACGTTAAGCTAGCAGTCCTGCCAGAAAAATTATTTGATAACGATTCCATGTGTGAATTCTATTTTCATTTTAATTATGTTAGCGATTGCGTGAACAGTATTTTCTATACTTCTGATCAAAGAAGAGTTCTCAATGGGTCAAAGAGTATTCAGCAATCTTTTCTGTATTTATAAACAATTTATATTCCGTGCACCTTGGAAATCATATCAAGTATCTGATTGAATCTATCTTCTATTATAAATTTTCCTTTTCTTATTAGACCTTGGGTCTGAAAAGCAAAGCACCAACAAAAAATAAACAATGTACATTTATAAACTTCAAATCAAGCATAAAGTCGTTAATATACAAATAAAAAAAAATTGAAACTGCTCACCACACTTTCTGATAGATCCGTTTGTAAAATGGAATACCTGTAATAGCCATTTATGTACAGAATTCTGCACATATTTTGGTCAGTACAGGATCTTATTCAGTTTAACATCTGATCACTGATCCCGATACTTTGATGCAAAATCTCTTTCCATACCATGGCATCACCCTTAAAAATCAATGTAAATTGCTATCAATGTATTACGGTTCTCTGACAACTTTCTCTGTTCTTTAACAATATGGCTAAATATAATTACTTGGTTCAAACTGTAATGTTGCAATTGATCTAGAAACTGAATTTAAGTCAGACAACCTTACTAGGCAAGTTAGCGAGTTATTGTTATGTCTGAAATAGTATGACAAATACTTCTGAAGGCTTTAAACAGCCTTTTTATTTAATCTTCAGCACAAAGTAAAAGACGCGACTCGTGCTACAGACAAGAACCACTACTCGTCGCGATGTAATTTAAACAATAACAGTAAATGAAATTCAAACCTTGATAAAGAAGTCTAAGACTATATAGTTAAACATCTAAGCTGGCTCAGAATTTTACGGCTGCGAGAAAACGCAAAGCCGAGAGAATCACTTCTACGCAGAACTGGCGGAATTCTAATAACTCGGCGGAAATGCCAGAAAGATTCAAAACCCTCAGCTTGCACATACTAAAAGCTAATTTTGAATCTCGTGAGGAATATGGGGAGAAGTGAAAGTAAAGATCTGATGATTAGTTTAACATCATAAAAGCTAATTTTGTCTCTAGTGAGGAATATGGGAAGAAGAAGTTAAAATAAAGATCAAATTATGATTAACTTAAAATCATAAAAGCTAATTTTGAATCTAGTGAGGAATATGGGAAGAAGAAGTTAAAATAAAATCAAATGATGATTAGCTTAACATCATAAAAGCTAATTTTGACTCCAGTGAGGAATATGGGAAGAAGATGTTAAAGTAAAGATCAAATGATGATTAGTTTAACATCAAAAAAGCTAATTTTGTCGTTAGTGCGATCAAGAGATGATTAGTTTAAAATCGTAAAAGCTAATTTTGACTCTAGTAAGGAATATGGGAAGACCAAGTTAAAATAAAAATAAAATAATGATTAGTTTAACATCATAAAAAACTAATTTTGAATCTAGTAAGGAATATGGGAAGAAGAGGTTGAAATAAAGATCAAATGATAATGACTGATTAGTTTAACATACGAACCTTACAAAATTACTTCATATATTAAATGAGCTTTCTCGAACTCCAGCTTCTTCTAAAGCAATTAAATTCTATCTTTAAAATTTTACTTCAACTTGTTAGCTCTCGGTCTTTTCCAATAAGTTTGTAAGCTTAGCTACAAATTTGTTTCGGATCTTTATCTTTTTTCAGTATTGGTGCTATAAGCCAAATTCTTTGCCACTGCTATGATACAAATCCCATCACTCAAATCCGTTTGAAGATGCACAAGACCCGGCTGAAGATGCACAAGATCCGGCTGAAGATGCACAAGATTCTTTGATGCTTCACTCGAAGTGCTTCAAAAATTTCTCATATATATACTGTCATTGCCTAGAGATTTTTTCTTTATAAGATGAATTAAAAAGAGTTTTTATTTCGAGATTTAAATTGAGATTAAAAGTTCTTGCATAGGAAAATGAATGTAGAAAAGAGGTCATTAAAATATTTATACTATTTTGGATGTAGTTCAGCATCTTTTGAGTCTCGTTCAAGTTTACTTTTGCATATTATGAGACAACACTTGCTTACTTTGTATCTTCTATGAGACTGGCCAAAGGCACTTGTTATATCTCTGGCTGAAGCTAAGCATCTACACGAAATTGGTTCTTTTTTAGAAAGAGTCCGCCCTGAAGGTTTGAAAAGAATTTATAGTTCTCAAATTAGGTTTTAAATAAAACTCTATCGATTTCATAGGCGATAAAACACGGATCTCTCGTTTTCAGGAGCAAAACAAATTTTGCCCAAAGATTTCACATGCTTGAGGCATAATTATAAAACCGGTGTTTTGTTTGATGGCATATTTAATCAAATAGAATAAAATACAAAAAGACTGTAAATACTAAAACCATAAAATAATGAAGGAAAGGATAAAATGGTTAAAATACGAAACTTCATGAACGGCAATAAGAAAAATATTTAAAACAATAGAAACTTGCTGGTACAATATAATAGAAAGACCCGCCCCTCGGCAGTCGAGTGTAAAGTCTTTAAACACTGTTAGTTCAAACTGGTTTCGAATTCCAGTGAACCGGTTTGCTGCATAGGAGCTTTCACGGTCTTCCTATCTTATAAGGTAGATTCATGTATAACGTAGAGTCAGTTTACCTTAAAAAGACCTCCACGAAGGCATCCTTCCCCACAGGGAGATAGCCCAAGTTTGTTTGCTTAATCAATAAATCTAACGCTATTAAAGAAAACTGCTACTAGAATATTTTTTCTACTGAAGAAGAGAGAGCTGTGTTTGATCGCCCTTGAAATCGATAGAGATTTATTCAAAATCTACACAAAAATAAGTTTGCTACTTTACTTAATTTTAAATTTTATGCCTCTATAAGGGAAAAAAATACCTTCTTAGAGGATATTTCATGAGAAACTACATTATACATGGATAAAATCTGTAAAACCTCTATATAGTCAGCTCATTCGGCGGAGTTCAAGCTTAAGTTGAAGAGTATTCAGAGGACTTACTCACTCCGCTACTGATGAGCTAATGAGGGCTTATCTGACGAGTTAATAAAAAAAATATCACTTTAAAAAACCTTTTAAACTTAATAAAAAGAAATGAAAGATGTAATAAAAGTTTAGCAAAGTAGTCAATGAAATTGTAGAAATGAGTAAGAAAAGAAATTTATCATTCTTAAACAAAATCTTGGGCCTAGTAAAAACTTTTTAATCATTCTTTCTCAGCCCAAGTTCAATTAAAATGCATGGAAACGTATGTAATGGCTTGGCTGTATTATTTGGTGCGAATCTCGCCATTTCTTGGTAACCCAGGTATCCAGCTAAAAAACGTCGAATAGACTGAATCGACGTTAATGTTTCGGAGCGGTTATAGCTCTAGCTTGACCGGTAGTTCAATTTCCGTGAGAATGGGCTTATTTTTATCGATATCGTGCCGAAACGCTAGCTTACAGTGTACAAACAATATCGATTACTATTTATGCAATGCGAGGAAATATGATTCAGATGTCAAGGATACTGGTAAGTGACAGCACTTCTCTTATTCATGTCATTTTCAAATATCGCTTGGCGCGTATATAAAAGTATGAAATAAGAATTGGGCTAACATATCTTTCTGAATTGCATTGACAAATATTGCTAAAACAATTACAGGTATTCTAAAAATTGACTGAAATTTTAAAGCATTCTTTATTAATCAAATATAAGACATCTAATTTTTATTACAGATTTTCTATCTTCTTTTTTAATAGTATTTCCTGGTATTCTTTAAAGAAATAAGTGTAATAAATTTTAAAAATGAAGCTTATTTCTGTTTTCCTTCCAGCTGTGGTCACATATGTTTTCGGACACTTGCGTTTTTCAGGTTTTTTTTAATATGAATTATTAAAGATTAGAGAAATGACTTCATTTTGCCTTCACATATACTATTCATCATATTTTATAAACCTGCTTTAAAGACAGTTATTCAAAACGTTTATGGTAAAACAATAACAATTATTATAGTTATAATAGTTTATTTGGAAAGATACGGAAAAATTCGCATATTATTCGAACACTGAACGAACAGTTTTATATTTAATAAAAACATGAAGATATTGGTACTCTCAATATTTCAATGAATTTCAACTAAAATTACAGTATTCATGGGCTTTGGTATGGATTCAACTAATTTTCCTGTGAGCATTGTCATCTTTGTTCCATTTCTCCGTAAAGATAGCTTTTAGTAGAGCTTTCGAAGAAAAATCCTGTTTCTTAATTCTTTTCTTAACTCATTCCATATATGTTTGATAGGACTTAAGTATGGAAAATACTGAGGTATTTTGATAACTTATATTGATAACAGTTATATAATAACTATAAACGAGTATTTAAGGCTTATGTTTAGAATAATTATCTTGATAGAAGTTTAATATCTTTCGCATTCTAAACTTTCCTGCTAATGTGTCCAGGTTTTCATTATAAATATGTATATATTTGTACTGATCCATTATACTACTTTTTATAAAAACTAATTTTTTTTAGCTACAGCGAATTTTTGAGCTAGACAGTGAAACGTCTCCAGATCATTATGCCTGTATCTCCTGCTTAACAACAGACAATATGTTTTTTTGGATTCAATTCCTTATTAGGCTTTTGCCACACAGTAATTCGTTCATGGGACACAAATATATAAAATTTTGACTTGTATGTAAATAAGACATCTCTCCAATATGTTAACTATTTACTTACTGTGCGTTTTACGAATGCAGGCTATGTTTTCTTTGTTTCTTTGTCGTTGAAGAATTTCCTTCTACCTGATCGTACATTGTATCCATAGGCTCTAATGACTGAGGTGTTTTGATAACTTAATATTGTTATATAATAACTACAAACGAATATTTAGGGCTTATGTTTAGAATAATTATCTTGATAGAAGTTTAATATAAGTAACTATTTGCTTACTGTGCGTTTTACGAATGCAGGCTATGTTTTCTTTGTTTCTTTGTCGTTGAAGAATTTCCTTCTACCTGATCGTACATTGTATCCATAGGCTCTAATGACTGAGGTGTTTTGATAACTTAATATTGTTATATAATAACTACAAACGAATATTTAGGGCTTATGTTTAGAATAATTATCTTGATAGAAGTTTAATATAAGTAACTATTTGCTTACTGTGCGTTTTACGAATGCAGGCTATGTTTTCTTTGTTTCTTTGTCGTTGAAGAATTTCCTTCTACCTGATCGTACATTGTATCCATAGGCTCTAATGACTGAGGTGTTTTGATAACTTAATATTGTTATATAATAACTACAAACGAATATTTAGGGCTTATGTTTAGAATAATTATCTTGATAGAAGTTTAATATAAGTAACTATTTGCTTACTGTGCGTTATACGAATGCAGGCTATGTTTTCCTTGCTTCTTTGTCGTTGAAGAATTTCCTTCTATCTGATCGTCCATTGTATCCATGGGCCCTAATGACTCTTAGAGAGTTTTCGTAGAATAAATTACAGATTGCTTGGCTCTAGTTTCGAATGTGATCCAGTGCACTTTCAACAGTTCCACCCAGTTTCCATTGTTTTATAACATTAAAGATAGTTGAAAGGTTTTCATCAAGGATTTGGGGGACATCTGTGATACTTTTATCACCTTTACATGATGAATAATTAAATTTCTAAAGAATGGTTAGTCAATTTGTAATGCTTTGCCATGTTTATTACAGATACGGAGATTTTAATATTTTTGCTAAGCATAAAGTAATATTTACAAATGCAATCCGTAATTCTTGGATGTATTTTCATTTAAGGAACATCAACAAGGAACATCGTCTTCCAAAACATCTCAACAAAACTTTGAGTGTCTGAATTATTAATGAACTTCTGATTAACATTTTTTGAATAAATTATTTTACTACAAGGAACATTTTGATGATATTCGTTTTTCAACACGCAAAGCTTAAAACAGCGAAAAATATTATATTAGAAAAACATCTGAAGTTTCTGCTTTAATATTTAGTATAAGATTTATGCAAATAAATTTCGAAAATACAAGTGTCTGAAAACAAATGTGAGCCACTGTATCAGTAAGTTTTAAATATTTCTGCTCTGATCTCTGTTTTTATCCAGTCTCTATCATCGTAGAATATGATTAACATTTTTTTGTATAGACAATCTTTCTTAGAACTTTAAAAAATAATCTTTGTATCATTTAAAAAATTGCGCAGAAAACTTTGTCAAAAGTAAAGATGTAATTATTCCAGAATTAAGCGGTTTATGTTTAAAATATTACAAGACAGTTTTAAGTCTTATATTTTTAAGAAATAATTCTAATATTTAGGAATTATCAGCAGGAAACCTTTTATATTGTAAAATACTCACTTGTTAATTTTCATATCTAAAATTCTGGCTCGTTATAAAGTCGTATTCAAGCATTCTAAAATTTTCTTCAAAATTTTAAATTGTGCAGAATTCCTCCTCAGATTGACGTTAGTTTTAAATGGGGTAAAATCCTTAATGTCCTAGTATCAAATAAGAAATTTCTGCCTTAAAAATATCTTTTCGAAATCTAACACCAGCCTTATATGCGTAGCCTAACATTTAAGAATAAAACAATAGTTTTTAACTCATTTTTTAATATTTGTATTTAAAGAAAACATGCCTGATTATCTCGACTAATACATTCACTTAAATATAATTCTTGTAGAATAAGTTCTAAATACCGCGATCATATTTCTGAAGGCATTTATTTTTCTCTTAAAATACCTTTAAGAAAGTCAAAATCTACGCGAGAAAAATTTACACCATTACCTCCTTATATTCAAGTCATTATGAGTATGGTTTCACTATTTGAAGGTGATAGACCTATGTTAGGTTCCCTTAAAATGGCTAGAAATTTCATGTTAAACTAACGACGCTAAAAAATTTATTTAATTTTCCAGTAAGCTGCCATATTTTCCTTGAATCTGCCGTTAAGACATAATTATCTCATTACTTTTTTATATTATTTTCACTGATACGTTAAATTTCATGTTTTATCTATGTTTTGCTAATTTCCAGATAAATGTTTTTTGAAAATTTTCAAGTTAATATATATGAAACTATATATGTATACACATACATACACATATATACGCAATGAAAAAAAACAAAACGAAAAAATGTGATGTGCACGCCACATGACTTCCTTGTACGGCCTATTAAATTATACACATTTTTTGGCTGCAACAGTAAAATGACATTAAATATTATTAGATATTTACATATTATTAACAATAAACTGATATTAGACATTGTTTAACTAACTAGATATATAAACTGTTACTATATATAGAGAGAGAGGTTTCGTTATTTGCCGAAGATTAATTTTTTTTTTAATTTGACATTTCAAAACGATGAATATTTTCGTCATTTAAAACTCTTCTGTAACTAGAAGTATATAATTACGACCAAAGACTGCGAAAATAAAGGTCGGATAAGGACATTATAGCCGGATAAGGGTGTTAGTATATATATATAGTATATTGTGAACATTTTGTATGGGTTCTTTAGTTTCGAAATCACAATTCATATTCAAACAAAACACATTTAATAAAACATTAATACATCTATAATATAGTTCATCTATAACATCGTTTATCTATTACCACGACATCTATAAGATCTTATATCTATTAACATGATAACTATAACGTCTTACATCTATTAATACAACATCTATATCATCTTGCATCTCCTCTCATAAAACAAAGTGGCGAGAGTTCTATCAGTTTCACTCGTGCAATCAACAGCTAAAAGAATTAGTAATAGTAATATATTACACATATATATATGTAATAGATTCTGTAATAGAACGCAGGCGGTGAAATCCGCAATGAACAGCGATAATTTTGATGCCGTAGAATGCTGAAACGCCGATCTACAATGAATAATAAATTTAACAGTAAGGTATATTTAATTCACCTTTTATTTAAATAAACGTTTTGTGGCCGCAATTAAATTGGCACATTAATTGTGCTTATTCCAAAAAGTTTACATTTTAGATAAATTTTCCTTAAGATAGAAAGAACAGACAGACCGCAATCCAGCTAGGTCAAAGCATAGAAGTAAGTGCGTTATGTTTAGCGTAAAGTCTTAATTCAGACTGAATTAGTTTTGGTTCTCAATGCATTTTGATTGGATAGTTAATAATTGCTATAAAATTACTATTGGCTGTTTGACTTTTAGTTCCATATACGTCATCAGAATTACCTAAGAGTCATATGACATAGCTTAGTCTCAAAACGACGCAGAGCAAATAGAAGTTACTATTTTTAGATTACAGAAGAAAAATTAATGTACGTTGCTAATTTGATCTTTTACATATTCTTTATTTTTCTTACACACACACACAATTTGCCCTTAGTTCACTTAGCACTTTAGCACACATAGTTCACTTAGCTTGGCATGCTGCTCCACTCTCCAAATACAAATATAGTCGGTAAGTTAAATTAAAACTTACTTTTTACTTGCCTTTTTAGTATTATTTATGTATTTTTTA